GGGGGGGGGGGGGGGGGCAGAGCAAGCCAGGCAGGGCCGGCCGGCCTCACCTGCAGGATCTTGCAGCGGTCCGACAGGCAGTCCATGTCGTCGCAGGGCTGGTACATGCCAAGTGTCACGCAGTTCAGCAGGATCACCAGCATGCTGACACATTCAAACCATGTACACACCGAGTCAAGGAAAAAACGGTCGGCAAGACTGTAGCCACGGGAAGGCTGAATGCACCCTGGAACTTAATACCCCCACCCACCACAAACGCTGGCATACACCCCATTCCCACCTCCAGATGCCTCCTCTGAGTGGGTCAATGCCCACTTTTTTAAAGACCTCGGAGACCAAAGACCAGTCTGCATACCTCACAACAGACACGGCTGCTGGTGCCAGACCCATCAAAGAACTCAACCCCTACCAACCCTACTGCTTGAGAGACCCCTCCCCGACTTCCTTGCCCCAGCCTGAGCGTCCCCCTCAGGACCAGGAAAGGAGAAGTCCACAAGGGCCCAGCTGGCAGGCCATCTCCGGATTATCCCTGCCTCTCCACCTCTAACCACCTCTCTCTGACTGTCATTGCCTCCCTCCTGTGACCACCTCTCCCCTCCCCTGACCTATGGCTCCTCCACGTCTACCACTAGCCCTGGAACTGGAGGGGCCAAAGGCCCTGTCCAGTGTGGCTGAGATGGGCCGGACACCCCTGTCCTCTCCTCTTCCAGCGGCGGGGTTAGAACTCATCACCAGTTTCTGGAATATCTGAGCGTTGGTCCTCCCCAGCCTCTGCACCGAGGAGGGTGGAGCTCAGCCTTCACAGGCAGGCCGGGGGCAGAAACTCTGCAGCCACCAGCTTTGGGCAGGGCCTCCAAAGTCGTTTTGTGGGCATGCTTGCTGTCTTCATTCACAGCTGGAACCTCCATTCCAAGGGGACAGGGGTCTTGCATTCATACCTCTAACAGTGACGGGCATCTAGGTGGAGCTCCGTTACACGAATAAGTTAAATCTCTGTGGGCCCTGCCAGCTCTGACATCCAGCGATTCTGGAGTGTCTCCGAACGAAAACCCTGGCCCCTTGCTCTAAGCTGGATGTAGCCACACTGGTCAGACCCCACCCAGCGGGGGCGAACACCTCTTGCCTGATGGGAGATGACCTGGTTTCCCTGGCAACGGCCTCCCTCTCATCCCCGGGTCTCGCTCACCCTGGGATGCCGCCTGCCTTCCCACCTCCCCTTCAGACCCTCCTCGCCCAGCCCTGCTCCTTCCTCCCCCACCCCCCACCCCGCTGCCACTCTCCCGCCACAGCCTGTAATTAATTGCAGTCACTGCTAGGGCCCCCTTCTAGCCTGAGCACTGCTCCAGCAGCAGCTTCATCATTAATTAACTTTTTTGAAGTTCAAGCGTTCTAATTACCAGTGAACATCCCTCATCCCCCTGGTTTTTTTCTTCCCCTTTCCTGCCATGCTTTCTCTCCTTCCAGCTGCCTCCTCTGCTCCCTCTGCCCTCCCTGCCAGCTTCCAGTTCAAAGTGCACTTAGCAGGTATCTCCCAGAAGCCTGGAACCCACCCCCCCTCTTCCTCATCAGGGCCCTGAGCGATGGGGGTCAGCAGGCCCATTTTCCAGAGGAGGAAAATGAGGCTCGGAGAAACTAGGGGCCTTGCCTCTGGGAAGTACCAGAGCTGAGACTCACACCGGGCCTTCTGGACTCCAAAGCCACTGATCTCCTCTGGGCCTCCGGGCCTGTCCCGGCCTGGGACTTCTCCTCCCTCCCCTGAGGCCTCAGACCACGCCCACTGTCTCTCACCTGGGCCCTGACTCAGCCTCCCCGGTAGCCTCCAGCTGTGGCCTCTGCCCCTCCAATCTGCCCCACGCAAATCACCAGGCCAGCGCGGTGTGCCCAGCGCCATCAGAGCGCTTTGAGCGTCACCTCGTTTAATTCTCTGAGCGTTATCGCCAGGCCCGCCGACAAGACGAGGAAGCGGAGCCGCGGAGGGGAACGTGATTTGCCCAAGGTCACCAGCTGGCAGCAGAGCTGAGAGACAAAACCCGAGAGTGCTTTGCTTTGCCTCCAAACCATTTTGCCACTGCCGGGTTAATCTGCCTGAAACACAGCTCTGATTACGCCTTTCCCTATTCAAAACGCTCCGTGGCTCCTGGCTCCGTCATCGTCCTCAGCCTGACATCCAAGGCTGCCTACACTGTGAACTCAGTGAATTCTGCCTTTCTCTCCTATTGGCCTCGGCATGCGCTGAACTTCTTGCTGTCCCCAGGCATACCCTTTGCATCCACCTCCTACTGTCTCTACCAGGTCAAACTCCTACCCATCCTTCACAGCCCCGTCCATTTGTCCCTTCTTCTTGAAACTTCCCTTGAAGCACCCTTCCCCATTCACAAGGTGGTGGCTCAGTCTCCTCTCCGGAAGTGCTCCCTGTCCCCCTGGTCTAGCTTGTACCGCGGTAACGAACTTGGCAGTAACCATAACTGCCGTGTGCCAAGTCCCTAGGGACATGGCCCTGACTCTCAACACAGCTCACCGCGGTGGGGGGCAGATGGGGAAACAGGGCAGTAAGCAGCCTGAGTGACCTGACTCAGTGGTGCCCAGAGCCCCTGTGTGGGGGTGCTTCTGCTGTTACCCACTGTACTGAGTCCCTTGGTGAGGCAGATGGAGTGGCTTTCACCTCTAGATGGCTCCGCTTCAGACATTCAGAGGTGGACAGCCTCAGCCCTCCCCCCGAGGCACTCGGGGAAATCCCAGATGGCAGAGTCTGGGTTCTTTCCAGGAGCCCGGGAGGCTTAGAAGTCAGGCCAGAGCTGGCACTGGTGCCCACAGTTGTGACATGCTCCCCACTGGCTCAGGGATCAAAGGCACCAGCCCTCCTTGAAGCGGAACCAGACCGTGCAGCGTGGGGAAGGAGATTGTCAGAGGGAGTCAAGGTCTCCGGGCTACCTGGCCCAATGCCTGATGTTTCCACCATTAGCCACAGGCAGTGGGGAGCTCTGAGAGCGCATGACTCTGGGGTTCTGGGACAGTTCGAAGGAGGACAGAGGCCCCAAGAGGGTGGTGAGGATTTCTAGGTAATAGGGCAGGCCAGGACTTGAGTGCTGGCTCCACAAGGGCAGGGAGTCTTCGATGGCTCCCACTGCCTCGCACAGCAAACTCAAAGCCGCCTGCCTGGCACCTGAGATCGTGCAGTGGGGACCCTGTCGCCTTGTCTGCTTCATTGCCCAGACCCTCACTCCTGTCAGGGTAACCTCTGTCACAGAACAACTCCATCGAGGCCCTCAAAAAGCAACTAATCCAATCCCCCATCGTGCAGACAGGAAACAGAGAGACAGAGAGCCATCCTAGCAACCCAGCGAGCAGGAGCAGAAGGGACCCTCAGACAACAGACTCCCCACCCATGGGGGTCCCTGAGCCATGGCTGGATTTCAAACAAACGTCAAAACCCCGTGTTTCCCCAAATGTCCAGGCTCTGCCCGTGTGGCACCTGCTCAGCACAGATCCCGGATGGGCAGCCAAGGGCACCTTTGAGGAACAGGGACGGGGGAACAGACCAGCGGCGACCCAACCGAGTTTCCCTGGCAGACGAAACCTTCCCAGACACCCACCCAGCTGGGGGAGAAGAAAACACAGGGTCCTTGGGGGCTGTAGAACCACCCCACCACCACCCCAGCCCCAGCGTGAGACTCAGCCCCACCTCCAGCCAGCCCCCACTTTGTGGCCTGGCTCCCATCCTGTTCCCCCTGCTCTGCTGACCGTGCCTCCCAGGGTCCTCGGAACCCCGGGCCTAACAGCCCAGCAGTGAATTGATGAGCATATACCGAGTATCCGCTGTGTGCCAGGCCCCGGGTTAGCAGCAGTGATGATGGTAAAAACGGCAAACGTTTCCCAAGTGCTCTGGAGTGTTTGTTTGCCAAGGAGCTTTCCAATCAAACAGCACGTACTATCTCATTTAAACCCTACAGCAAGCACACGAGGCAGGGAGCCCAGATGCCGTGGAATGCAGAGCCTGTGTAGCTGTGGACCTGGGACCAGAGCTTGTCATGCGCTGTGCAGCAGGGAAAGCCTGCTTTGCCAGCCTCTCCGGTAACAGGTCCCAGGGGCTGCCATTCTTCGGCTTTGCGGGGAGAAAAGCCACCTCACCAGCAGAGGACTGAAATCCCCGGCTGGTGCTCTGTGCTGACTATTTAGTATCCATCCCCTCGGGTAGAGAACAAGAGAACTATCATAGCCCTTCGGACCCGTGTTGGCCTCCCAAGTGCTGAATCTTCACTAACAACCTTTCAAGAAGAATCAAAGCCTGGGTGGCTCATTCGGTTGAGGGTCCGACTTCGGCTCAGGTCGCGATCTCACACACTTCGTGGGTTCGAGCCCCACGTCGGGCTCTGTGCTGACAGCTCAGAGCCTGGAACTGCTTCGGATTCTGCCTCTCCCTCTGTCTCTGCCCCTCCCCGCCCCCTCCCAAAACTAAACATTAAAAAAAAAAAAAAAATCAATGGGTTTAGACCTAGCAATGCAGGGTTGTCCCAGACCCACAGCAAAGTTCCCTAAAACCGGCAGGTATTACTGTTATCCACATTTTACAGATAAGGAAACCAAAGCACTGAGGGTCACACAGCTGTTATGGCAGGATTTGAATCTGCCCCCTGCTGATGACTAACCCCGCCCCCCATGTTCTCAGCCCCGTGTTCTACTGCCCCCAGGCACAGAGCCTGGAACAGGAGAGACCCTCGACTGGCATGGGCCCAGTGGAATATTTGCTTTTTCCTTCTTGCCTACATTGTCTCCTCCGGTCTGGGTCTGGGTCATGGAGTCAGGAAGGATGACATTCCACCC